ATTTTCCTTATCGAGTTATCGATTTCGATTTTGTCCTCTTCGGTTTATCGGTTTATCGATAAACAGATAAGAAATACTAAAAAAAAAAAATTTTTTTTTTTTTAATTTTTTATTTTTTTTATTTTTTTTTTTACATTTATTCTATAATACCCTTTCCTTTACCCTAAGTCCCTAACCCTATTATTTCATCTACCACATTTAAGGAATGATCATACTTAAAGCTCAAGGGAATGAAGTTCAAATTAATGGAAAATAGAATTAGCCGTGATGATGTATTTTTTTTTATACCGTTGGAGTGTTAGTGGCATACATTTGATCCCTTACTTTAGTTTCGTTGCATGTGCTTGTTGACACAATTTTTATGTTATAAACGGTGTTCGTCTTATTTTAGCTTCTTTTGGTCCATATTAGTTAGGCGTGTTTATAGCGATATACTTTCCGTGGAATCCCGCAAATTTTCTTATTGGAGTAATCGATAACCGAATCGATAAGCCCCAAAAATCGATAAATCGAAACCTTATTGAAACGATAACGATAAGCATATGTACAAATCGATAATCGATAAATAATTATCGATAAGGGTCAAAATCGAATCGATAAATCGAATGCACACCCCTACTTAAGAATTACTTCTATTTAAGCTAGTGTGACATTCTACGAGAACTTGGAAATAAAAAAGTTCTGCAAAAACAAAAGATCCTTGAGAGGTGAAATAAGTTTCTATCTTCAAATCACTTTGATGATGATCTTTTTCTTTATTTCTTTTTTAAGGTTCAAAAATTGGTGTGTTTCCCTAAATTAATAAGGCCAATTTTCAAGGTTGAGATAGGCTCTAAACCTATTTCTGCAACAGAATTAACATCTATAGAATCAGCAAAAAGAAAATGAAACACCTCTTAGGTTATGCGGATGTTAATTCCACTACAGCTATGAGTTTAAAGCTCATCATATGAACCTCATATCACCCTCAAGGTGAGGATAAGAGCTGGTATAACCTATATTACACTGAACGTGCTCTGCAGCTAAGTTGCTCCGGCACGGTAGTTTAGGTGCCGCACCCGTGTCGATACGAACTAGTATGGGTGTGGATATGGGATCCGGTATGGATCGGTACAATTTTGGGTACTTTGACTACTACAGACGAAAAAATTCTAGACGAGATACACTTTGATTCTCGAAATCAGAACCAAAACTAGGGTAAATTTGAAGAAAATAGCATACCTTGTCTAGGAAATCAATCATTTACTTATCTACAACTTGAGAATAAAAAAGAGATCCACTCTTTACAAGCTATACATAAGTATTCCTCGAAATTTCTCATAATTTAGATATATTTTTATATTTTTTTTTGAATTATTTTAGCCAGATCCCGTATCGGTACTAGGATCTGTATCCCTGAATCTTAGCATTTACATTTCGAAGGATGTGACTTCTAGCTCCGCACCCGTACTGAACATCCGCACCCGTGTCCGAGTAACTTAGGTCGGTAGGTTTGGAATTGGCGGCCTAAAGCCAAACCTTAATAAGATGCCTTAAACTTATTTCATAAAACTCATATAATAATGAGAGAAATGACTTGCTTTTTGATCTGCAGATCAATCAAGGTGGACAGATAAATAGCTGATCAAGAAAGTTTGAGTTATACAATAGGAATGGAGTTCATGGTATAAGTTATTACAAAAACAATCAGATGAAAAAAAGTCAAGACTTTCTACAACTTATAATAAGGAGTTGACATTGGCCATGAAAAGAGAACATAGTGGCTACCAACTAATCAAATAAAAAAAGAACACTTGACCTTTATATTAAATTTGTTTATGCACCAAAAATTTTACTGTGGAAAATTTTTTTGGCTCGAAAAGAATGAGAATTTAAACTCGTGAAATATTAAAATTTGCCTATGGATTAGCATAGTGAGTCAAGTTTTCCAGAATCAAGAACCTTATTCTGTTCTCCCAAAAGATGTTTTTACCTCATCAACATTTGATAAAGAGTTAAAATTAATCAATTTCCATTCAGCTAAACCACAGTAAATCAAGTCCAGATTCTTGGTTTTCAATCATATTATTTCTAGATTATCTTGTAACCTAGGACATCTTAACTTAAATTCTTCATGAATATATTAAGGTGGTATCTGTGGAACACTTCAAAAGTCATAGAAACTAAAAAAAACTTCAACCTTTGCAGTTTGTATTAGAGGCAGACAAGTTCTGTTTTAATATTGTCAAAACAATTCCTTCAGAAAGTAGCTACAAAGGCATATTCCAGACTATAAATACTTCATGGTTGTACATAAGTTATACATCATCTGAGGAGAGCAACTAGAGGAAAAATCCGAAGTAGCTAGCTGTTCTTAATCCGAAAAAAGAATGGATTCAAAGGGCTTCAATTGTTCAGTTATTGCACTTGTTTCTTGCATGATTTTATCCTTTTCAGTCTCTTCCTTGGCCAAAAAACAACCACACTGTCCACTTAAAGTTGGTTTCTATCAACATACTTGTCCCTCGGCTGAATCCATTGTGAGAAATGATGTGAACAAAGCCGTTTCTCGTAATCCAGGCATTGCTGCTGGCCTTATCAGGCTACATTTTCATGACTGCTTTGTGAGGGTATGTTATGTCCTTCTGTCTAACATGATCGTGTTCTACTAATAATTTCATTATTTAATTATTCTTTTCTGCATGTTGAATTGCGTGACCACTTCATCTAAACTCATAAGCTGTTAAAAAAGCAAAATTTTAATTACCTAATTATATTATGTCTCAACATGCCCTCTCACGTGTGAGCCTGATTAGTATTCATGGACCAAATATGCTGAAATATTTTTTTTTGATTTTTGGGTGGCGGTGAGATTTGAACTCAAGATCTCGACCTGCTCAGTTACCATGGTGAATTATGTTATCATCTTATTAAGCATTTAGATGAGGAGGTCACATAGTTCAACAAGTGATATTCTTGATAATTTCAATAACTTGATACTGTTCTGCGTTTTACGTACTTTAGGGATGTGATGCATCTGTGCTATTGGATGGACCAAATTCAGAAAAGGAAAGCGTAGTGAATAAGAACAGTTTACGAGGTTTTGAGGTAATTGATGCAGCTAAAGCTAAGCTTGAGGCTGCATGCCCGGGAACTGTCTCGTGTGCAGACATTCTCGCCTTTGCTGCTCGTGACAGTTCTTACAAAGTTGGAAAAATAAACTATGCTGTCCAAGCAGGACGTCGTGATGGGCGTGTTTCTATCAAGGATGAGGCCTTAACCAATCTTCCATCTCCATTTGTGGGTGTCAAGGAACTGATCAAGAGCTTTGCAAGAAAAGGGATGTCGGTTGATGAAATGGTCACCCTCTCTGGTGCACATTCTATTGGTATTGCTCATTGCGCTGTTTTTGCAAATCGGCTATACCCTCAAAACAAGCAACAAAATCTGCCAATTGATCCTGAATATGAAAGAATGTTAAAGTCCATTTGTCCACCAGAATCACTTACAAATGGAACAGGAGTCGCTAACCCTGCGAATCTTGATGTCCTAACACCAAACAGGTTGGATAAGAATTACTACATGGCTTTGAAGAGTAAGAAGGGGCTATTAGTTTCTGATCAAACATTGATGAGTAATCCTAAAACTGCGAAAATGGTGAACTTCAACGCGAGATATGGGCGCGTGTGGGGTAAGAAATTCGCAGATGCAATGGTGCATATGGGTACCTTGGATGTCCTCACAGGGTGGAAGGGTGAAATCAGAAAGAATTGTCATTTCGTGAACTAATTTGTCATTGTGAGATCAGGAAGAACCGCAATGTTGTTATTATTTTTTAATTTATAACGGCGCTGTTCGGGGCAGCTTACGTTCATCTTGGCTATATCAGTGGTCTCTGCTATCTTCCACCAGCACAAACACAAGGTAATATGGCAGGAAGAACTGCTATATTTTGCTGTGAACTAATTTGTCATTCTTTCAGTCTTCTTTTTATGGTTTTTGTGAGTTGTAAACATCCTACTGAAGTAAGGATCGACGGTTCAATCTTTGTTGAATTGTTACAGATGAATTTTCTTAATAAACTTCTATTCCTGATTGAAAGTCTCTAAAAGAAAGAATTATAACTCCCTCCGTTCCAATTTATGTGAACCTGTTTGACTGGGCACGGAGTTTAATAAAAAATGAAGACTTTTAGAATTTGTGGTCCTAAACAAATCAAAAAGGGGTCCAGAGTATTTGTGTGGCTATAAAAGTTTCTCATTAAGGATAGAATTGTAAGTTTAAGCTAAATTGTTTCCAAATTTAGGAACGGATCATTTGAAACGAACCAAATAGGAAATAGGTTCATAGGAACAGACTTCTTTTCATACTTTGAATAACTTCTGTTTAAGCTAGTGTCACACGCTGCAAGAAAATTGGCAAGCAAGCAACAACAACAACAAAAAAAAAGTAGTTTCTTCCTGAAACACCATTTTGAAAAGTATTTTTGAGAAAAATACACTTAAAAATACTTTTTAAAGTTTGGCCAAACACTAATTACCATTCAAAAGTGCTTTTCAAATTAATTAGCCAAACATAAATTGATTTTCACCAAAAATACTTTTCTTTTTAAGAAGCACTTCTGAGAAAAATAATTTTTTAAAATAAGTTGGATTTTAGTAGCATCGCCGACAAGCTATAAAAAGCTCATCATTTGATCCTGCATTTGCTTTAAATTTTGAAATACATTACTCCCTCCGGTCCACAATAAGTGACCAGTTTACTTTTTTATTTTGGTCCAAAATAAGTGTCCAGTTATGTAATCAAGAAAAAAATCAATTTGTTTTTACTCTTTTACCCTTATGTGCATATCCCTAAAAAGTTTCTCACTCCTCATTATAACTATGTGACCAATATTTAATAAGGGTAGTTTATTCATACTATGCATTTTTGTATAGGATTTAGTATTTTCTTAATGGACGTGCTAAAAGGAAATTGGTCACTTATTGTGGACCGGAGGGAGTAAAAATATGACAAAAACTACAAGTACTTTTTGCCGGATACTTGTACACACTCGTGCCTCATAGTCCCAACTTGCTTGAGGTTGAGGCGTAGTTGTTTTTATTATTGTTATACATTTGGTGGCTCGGCCAAAACTATTTACAGTTTTTTGGCTGATGACTATGTAAGTTAATTGGCTTTGTCCCCTTTTAGCCTGCGCCAGAAACTATTTATATTCGGTAGCCGAAAAAGTGTATAAATTTGTATTTAACATACAGAATGTATATATATACAAAAAAAAAATATACTTTTCGGCTATTATTTTGAGAATGGCTATACAGTGTCATTTTTCCAAATTAATTTCTCTTACTTTTACACTAAACTGCAGCCCAACAAAACCCACAATAGAAAATAGTAAAAATTGCACGGAGCGTCCTATTTGGTCGCCCCCATTTAACCTATACCCATTTTTTTAAAAAGTTTTAATTTGTACCCACTTTTTAAACAACTTCAGCCCCCTTTCTCCTCCTCCTTCTCCTCCTTCGTTTTCTTCTTCTTCTTCTTCTTCTTCTTCTTCTTCTTCTTTCTTCTGATGTTGTTGGTGCTGCTATGAAACTTCAGTTCATAGGGATGATTGCCATAAGTATGTTTATCAGATTATTTAAAAATAAATTATAAATAACGTTCTAAAGTAAGTACGTACATGTATGTAAATGTAAGTCCATTTCCTTTAATTCACATTCTATTATTTTTTTTGGATTCAGCTTTGTACATTATCAATGCATTTTAACCCGTTGTGCTTCATTTATCTAGTTTTTTAAGTTACTAATTCTACTTATGATAAACTTATTATCTGCACAAAAAATCAATTACATGATAGCATAAAACATGCTGAAGTTCAGCAAATATAGAACAAAACTTCAGCTAAAACATGCTGAAGTTCAGCAAATAGAGAACAAAACTTCAGCTACTAGAATGCTAAAGTTCAGCAATTACAAACAAAAACTTCAGCAAATAGAGAACAAAACTTCAGCTACTATGCTTAAGTTCAGCAATTACAAACAAAAACTTCAGCAAATAGAGAACAAAACTTCAGCTACTATGCTTAAGTTCAGCAATTACAAACAAAAACTTCAGCACACTTGGTTCAGTAATTTTTGCTACTTCTGGATGGGCCTGGAAAGAATGCTGAAGTTTGCGTGATTGCCTTTGCTACTTCAGGCTCATATGCTGAAGTTACGCGAAAAAGTGGGTACGCTTGCAATTTTATTTGCAAAGCGGGTACAAGTTAAAACGTGACCCAAAAAGCGGGTATAGATGCAAATCCCCATAGAAAATGCACGCAACGTATAATCAATGCATAACCATTGTATAATATATTTGTAATTCTTGTATATAAAACACACACTGAGCATGCTCACATTGATTATACACTTCTTATACACTGAGTATACACCGGCGACAGTTACGAATTGTTACGTCATCCCAAAATCTTCTATTTGCTCTTATGTTTTTGGGTGATCTTGGACATTCTGTGCAGGTCCATTTTGATTACAAACTTAATAGATCCTGTATTTTGTTCACTTTCTGAATTGGAATCAGGACGCCACAACCTTTCCTCCTACTCATAAAACAGAATTACTTTATATATCTCTTTCACATTTTATGACAATATCACTATTCAGGAGGTTAATGATTTCTTTTAACTACAATTTCATAAATTTCTTACTACAAGAACTTGTGACATATAGAAAAAACCAATATCTAAAATTAGAATAACATAACTTAATTCTCTTACTCAAATCTGTCATTCCTCCGAAAACGGGCCGGAGACTAATAGGTAATAAAAGTCTAGAAGTTGGACTTTGCTGGATTTAGTACTTGCAACAATGTGGCAACTGGCAACTGTATTGAAACTTATTACAAATAGGTTGGAGAAATATTGCTTGTTTAGAAAGTACATTTTAAGGCCTAGGACCTAGGGCAGATATATCATATATTATTATAACATTATTTGCACCTTGTCAACTCGAAACCTTTAATTAAGATAAAGGGATATCATCCATCCTACCACAATCCTTAGAGATAACTCTGTCTGTTTTATTAGAAGATACTATTTATTTAATGAATAAAAAATTAACTTGACTTATGTATTAATTAAGAATAATAGTAAAATATATTAAAACAGTAACTAAAAAGTTAGTTTGGAAGAAATTAGCTCCTTTTTTTTTTTAAAAAAAAATCAAATTTTCTCTTATATTTGCTATGTCGACGAATAATCAAATTATCCATCAACTGTATTCTGTAGTTGTGGAAGCAAAAATACACGGAATATACTTTAAAATGTTTTTAAAGTAAGAATTAGATTCAATTAGTGTGGTGAATAAAGAATCAAATTATCCAGCAATTGTATTTTGCACGTGTGGAAGTAAAAATACAAGCAATATATATATAAGTATTTTCTCATCACGCGCACTATATATACTTTGTAAGGTTGTAAAAGTAAAGAATTAAATTCAATTTTTTCTTGTTTACTATGGCGACGAAGACCACTTCCGCCTTAATTGGGCCTTACGCGGCGCGAATTTAAATATAATCGGCTCCAATGCGAGTACCGGACACCGAATAAATTATTTTAGACCGCAATTGTCAAAAATATTTCTTTGTTAAACTCCATACCGATTCAAAGTGCATCACATAGAATACCAGCAACAATTGTAGTCTCTGCCTAGCTATATAGTATGGGAGCATGTCATGCTCTGTAATGCGTTCAAATACTAGCTACATAAATCAGTCAAAGTCCACAATTGCGTCAAGGATAGATAATGATTTTGAAATTCAATGCATTGTTCAAGTGATCAAAGAGACCAACAATAACAATAACGACCCAGTAAAATCTCACAAAAGTGAGGTCTGGGAAGGGTAGTGTGTACGCAGACCTTATCTTTACCCCGGGGAGTGGAGAGGCTGTTTCCGATAATCCCTCGGCTCAAGCAAACGAAAAGAGATAATATATCAGTACCATAAAAAAAAAACCCATTGAAATAATAACATCACAAAAACCAATAAAGAGACCAAAGCAATTGAATATTTTTTTTCGATAATCGTGGTGTCCGAGCCGGATAGATATGAATAAGACCAAAGCAATTGAATATTAGTTGGTTAAAACATACATACGGCTATTAGGGGCTCACAACTATTGTGGTCCTCAGAGAACTCTCAACAGTTGCACATCAAATATTGACGACTTCTTTGCATGAGATATATATAGATCTGGCTGCACCTTGGTCTAAACTTGTCACGACCCAAATCCCTGCTCTGGTCGTGATGGCGCCTCTCATGAAGACAAGGCCAGCCAACTAACCCATATCGCCTTTTTAAAAATTGTTAAACATGAATAAACAGTCTAAATATGATTTAATAATATTAATTAGCGGAAGTACAACCCAACACTACCCTAATCGAGGTGTCACAAGTCATGAGCATCTATAAGAGTGTAAATACAACTACAAGGTCTAAATATACACTGAACAGGAATAATGAACAACAGAGAGAGAAGCGGTGCTGCGAACGCTGGCAGTCACCTCGCTAAACTCCTATAGCTCTGCCTCCAATCAGCCAAAACCCGCTACCGGGTGAATAAATACCTGTATCTGCACACGAGGTGCAGGGAGTAAAGTGAGTACTCTAACTCAGTGAGTAATAAAGGTAAATAATAACTGAGCAGTAAGAAATCACGTAAAACAAACCGTCATGCTGTATAGAGCAGTGTAAAACCCTTTTTAGAAAACAGTGAAGTTGTGAAATCCTTAGAAAAAATATCTCGGCCAGTTTAAACCTCTTTTGGAAATAGCGGTTATGCAATTGAATGCAAAACAATAGTGTAGATAAGCACAGAAATTCGCCCCTCGGGCACAACACTCAGTTTTCAGATAATGCCAGGCAATCAGGTAGGTATTGCATGAAGTAGCACACACAACAGATAATGGCAGACAAATGAAATAAAGTAAACACATAGAACAGTACCAGTACCGCTGCGGCGTGCAGCCTGATCCATATATCGCTGCGGCGTGCA